GCCCTGGAGGGAGCTTTGGTGGTTTTATTTATTTTTTTCAAAGCGAGGCAGAGTTTAAACTTCAGAAGCGCAGTTAGCTGGCGAAAGGCTGTGTCGCCTCGATCCCTAGCCAGCTGCTGCCGGTGAGAACTCGGAACTAATTATTTTTTTAGCGGTAGTGCCCCTCCCTGTCTGTAGCGTGTGAATATAGTCGCGGCGTCAGGGTGATGTTTCCCATTTCTGCTGTGAAATTCACCTTTTGGCAGCGGAGCCACCTTCCCCTGCCCTCTGGACCTGCCGCTGTTCGGGTGTGCTGAGGGGGCCGGGCACTGCGCTGGCTCACAAGCCGGTTGCAGGTCAGAGAGGCCCCGTTAACAGGGCGCAGACAGCTGCGTCTTGCTCGGTTCCTGTTAAAAACATCTTCGCTATGTTTCCCATTTCTGCTGTGAAATTCACCTTTTGGCAGCGGAGCCACCTTCCCCTGCCCTCTGGACCTGCCGCTGTTCGGGTGTGCTGAGGGGGCCGGGCACTGCGCTGGCTCACAAGCCGGTTGCAGGTCAGAGAGGCCCCGTTAACAGGGCGCAGACAGCTGCGTCTTGCTCGGTTCCTGTTAAAAACATCTTCGCTTTATTAAAGCTTTGCTGAATCCTTGTCCTTTTTGCCCAGGGCAAGCAGGTGCCCTTTTTCCCCCACGCAGTGGGGATTTGAAGTACAGCTGTGGTGTTATCTGGCTGACTTGGTGACCAGAGGAGCTCATCACAATTCAGTTATTCACAGTAACCTGCAGAATTTGGGAGAGTGGTGGTTGTGTTGGTGGTCCTGAGCTTCAAAGTGCACCTTGTTATTGTTGAAGTCCTACCTCTTAGTGCCTATATTCTTTTTCCTCCTCTTTCCACCCCATATTTCAATGTACAGTTGAACCATTCCACTTCCAATAGCTGTTTGGAGCTCAGGAGGCTTCAGGTCTGGTGTTGTGGAAGGAGTTATGCTGGGGTAGAAGAGGCCCCGGCAGTCACTAGCTGTGTGTCTGAATGGGTGCTGGGAGAAGCATCGATATACACACATCGGATGTCTGATTACTGCTGCTTAGTTATGGGGCTGGGGTGGTTGTTTTTTCTAAGGTCAGTCAACTTCACCGATAACTGTGAAGTTGTTAGTGATCTTAGTAATACCGCGTGCATGAAAATGTTTTGGTTACGGACAACCCAATATATGTGGTTCCAGTTAGATTAATGGCCTGATGTCTTAGCGTGTAGATACATATGAGTTTGGCTGGCTGCGCTGCTGTGGGTCTGTACCCTCGCTGTCGAGAGAGTAGGGAAGGTGGAGCAGATCTCGTTGGTGCTGTTCTGCAGCCATATGAGTTGGCTGATTAGTGCTGACAGAGCTCTCGGGTTTAGATACGGCCTAAGCTGATATACTGTTGGAGGGAGTTTCCACTGGGGTTTTTTTGCTGTTTTGTTACTTAATTGTTTCTTTCACAGCAAGCTGAGTTGTGAGAATATTCCTTTGCAGGAATACTTGTGTCTGTACACTTCATATATGCCAGCAAAGGTATAATAATGAACAAATACATATTTTCAGCCAAGGCGATACAGCTACATCAGCGGAAGTCAGGTCTGTTCTACCAGGGTCAAATAAGTATGGTAGCAACTGGTTACAGTTGTAGTGAGTGAGACTTAAGGCAGTGAGAGTTTAGTGATTCCTGCTAAGGGTTTGATACATTATTACTGCTAGATATTTCAAGTCCTATGTCGAGATTTCCCTATAGATACTATGCTTTCACAGGAGGTAAGGTGAAGAGCTAGTACTAGTTTTCTGTTAAGAGTTTTTTTTGCTGTTCCAGGAAAAGCAGTCAACTCTGCCCTCCTTTATGTCACTTTAGTTAGCAGGACTTTGGCTTGTGGTAAAAGGTGCTGGAGCTAAACCTATTAGATGAAAATGTGAGGCTAGTATTAATTAATAGCTAATCATGTGACATTGAAGCTGTCTGAGGAAGTGGGAATTAACACTTAGTGATGTGTTTCTAAATGTCATTCTTAATTGTATCACCAGGATTGTTCACCATCTGTCAGCCAGGTAGGAAGGTTATTTTTATGTGTATCAAGGATATCGGTGAGAATGTGAATGTGCTAATTCTATTTGGGGCAGCCATTTTTCAGAAAAAATTGAGTTAACTTAAACTGTACTTTGTTTTCACAGATGTGGCCCTTGTTTAAGGATAGCCCCAGCTTTCAATGCTCTGAGTAACAAATACCCCCAGGCAACTTTTTTGGAAGTAGATGTACATCAATGCCAGGTTGGTATTCAAAAACATATTTTCAGTTTTAAGAGAAAGAGCAGGTAATGTAGTGAATGGGAAACTTGAACAAAAACTGTTCAGACAGTATACCAAGGGTAGTATCCTGTGATGATTGGCATGTTTGGTGAATCACAAATAGCCATATTGTGAAATTCTCCAAAATTAGAATATGCTCAAAGATGCGAACAAACAACGCTTTTGTTTAGAAGAATATTCTTGTAATTATCACTGTGATGTCCTTCATTTAAGCTGTGTACAGACAGTTTAACAGTTCCTCCTGCCTGTGCAGTTTAGATAATACTGTTAAATGTAGAAGATAGCACTAGTATGTATTAAAAAGAGTAAGTCTTTCCAAACAAATATTGGCATAATTATTGAGCAAAATGAAAAATGCGGTGAACTGATATGATTAGTGGGCCTAGATTCCTCCTGAGTACTACTCAAGTGTTTTTAACAGACAGTGTTGCAGATGAGCTATTGGTTGACTTCAGGGCTGTTAACAAAAATTAAGAACGGCAGGTTGGAAGGAAGTGTCTTGAATTACTGCATATTGTAATGGAGAGAGATGAACATTAAAGTGGTAACAATGGTTGCAAATGACGCTAAATTGTGGAGAGTTTTGGAAGAACTGCTATGAGTGGATAACAGGTCTGAGCACTGGTAGAAGTCAGATGGAGTTTGACTTCTACAGCAGCAGGCTGCAGTTCCTGGGTGTGCATGAATGTGGCTTGGGAGAGGAAGAAGTACAGGTGTAAAACAAACAAAAAACCAACTTGTAAAATAAGTGGTAAACAAAGCCACCCTCCATTTGCGAGAGCCAATGAGTAATGTGATTTTTACGGTGTACCAACAAATCTACTAACAACACAAAGTGCATTCAAAGAATGCCCAAATGTGTAAAGGATTAGGAGGATCTGAAGAATTTAAATTAACTTACAATTGTTATCTGAGTGAAAGCTGTTTATAAAAGAAGAGATTGTTTGTGATGTTTGAGGTGATGTAGCTTGATTATTGTCTAGTGTGTGCCTTCTTATCTACGTGAAGCAAGCTAAAATTTCTGCCTAATATTGGTAATACTGTTATGTAACACTTGTAACTAATTTATGCATTCCAGGGAACAGCAGCTACCAATAATATATCAGCAACACCAACATTTCTGTTTTTCCGAAACAAAGTGCGAATTGACCAATATCAAGGAGCAGATGCTGTAGGTTTAGAAGAAAAAATTAAACAGCACCTGGAGAATGATCCTGGAAACAGTGAAGATACAGATATCCCAAAAGGATATGTATGCATCTCTTATCTGAAGCTAATTTCTTTTAATGTTTATGTAACTTGAATGTTTAAAAAAAAATCTGTTGCTTTTGAAACATACCCTAAGTCAAACAATACTACTTTAGGCAAAACTGCCAGTTCCCTTGGCTTTGAGAGAGCATGTGTCTGGGTTTCCTTTTTCAGACACAAGTAAGAAATTAACGGGTATGGATTTAGTAGGTATGGTTATAGAACTGTGAAATGTTTTAAGAAAAATCTTCACGCGTAGCCATTAAAATAATGAATTTCATGTTTTATGATGAACTTTTTGCTGCAGCTGTTTATCCTGCTGCTTTCCTCTTCTCGGACTTCCCAACCTGTCTTCCCAAAACATTTTTTTAAAGTGTAAAAATGTCCAGGGGAAAAGACATTGTTAGGCATAGCTGTCAAGAACATTGAAAAGTTGCTCTGCTTGTTCCTGAAGAAATCCTCTGTTATTTATGTGGTGGTAGGTTCATTTAGGTTTTTCCTTTTTTCTTCTTGTTCCTTACCTGTTTTTCAATCCTCTCTGCTTCATCTTTTTTTTGTTTTAAAAAAAAAAAAAGGCTGGGGAGAGGAGAGATTCTGTTGCCAAAGGAATTAATCTTTGTAACAGTTCAGGGCAAGCTGCTGTAGATGAAGATGGAGCTGAAAACAGAGTGCCTTTGGGAGGGTATTGTTAGATAAGCGATATTTCCTGGTATATTTTCTTTTGCCTGATTGCTAATGTTTGCAAAAGTGGATGGTACTACAAAGTGCTCTCTTCGGATTTTTTTTTTCTTGCTCGTAGAAGAATATAAAATAAAAAATGTCAGAGGAATACTTGGAAAAGATTACGTGCCTGGTCTGAGCAACTGTGAATTTGCTTTCAATTTAATGCTTAATGTGTATCATTTTGCTTCTGTAGGGGTACTGTGTATCACTCCAGTGATCACGGATCAGGCATTCGCAGATAATGTAAACTAAGTAAATAACCTGTAACTTTTTAGTACTTTGCAAAAAAGAAAAGTGAACATTTCTAAATATATGTTCTTAGACTGAATGTTTTTTAAACCTTGCATCAAAATGTCTTGTAAGTAACGCTTGATTTTTAACTTTTTTGAAGAATTTAAAAACTGATATTCATGAACAGATTTTTTTATCATTGCATGGTTTGCCTGTCTTCTAGGTAAATCAAAACTTTGTAGGGATGCTTGAATTTTTGGCTGAAATCTCAGTAAGGGAGCAATCCGCTTAGAAATATTGGTGCTCTCAAGGAAATTATTTTCACCATGTTCTGCGTGTTTTTTGTGTTACCTCAAGGCAATTGTGCGTTTCAAATTATAAGCCTGTCTGACAGCTGTACTAACAAACACATGTAAATGAGAAGTCTAATGTGACAAAACACTTTTACTAGAGCTGTTGTCTTAGGTGGTATTCTCCAAGCAATCCTTGGTGTAGTATTACTCCTTAAATGCAATTGTCTGTTGTTCTACCAGAAGTATAAACACAGTTAGTTGTATGGTGTATTACATTTCGCCTAAGTCATATGTCACCGTTCAGTGCTTAGCTAGTTGCTGTAGTGTGCACACTACTTTGCATTAGCAAATCTAGTACATTAAACTTAGCTGTGATGAGTATCTATAGAACCCCAGATTGCATTATTAAATGTAAAACCGGATTTTTTTGGAGGTGATGTATTTTAAATTCATAGCTAGCCATATCCTATCAGGCAAGTGTAAGCAGGGTGCAAATCCAGTGGAGTATTTCTCATTGTAATAAACTGCCAAGGGCACAGGTCACTTGAATTTCTAGCAGTTCAGCTACTTCCTAACTGTTCCATGGCACGTGTTACTCTTCGCTTTATCTGTGAACGCTTTACATTTATAATTATCATGAAATCCTCTGTGGCACTACGGGAATGTCAGAAGACAAAGGGTCAGCTTGTTAGCTTTGGAGCCCTAAACGCACTGAAAACCATGCCAGCAGCAAGTTGAGGTCTGCTTGGTTAGATTGGTTTTGAGATGAACACACCATCTTCTGTTGAAAGTTAATCTTGCAGGAGATGGTGTCTTACCCCTGCAAACCTAGGCCTCAGTATCTTCAGGGCCGTATGAGCCAAGCAGGAATTCTGTTTGACCTGGAAGTGGTAGGTTGAAATGCAGCTTTAGGATATGCTTGACCCAGACTGGGCTGCCGTTGGCTCCGGGAAAGCATCTTCATCCTCTTGTGCAGCTGTGTGTTCCTTCCTTTTTCTTACCTTGTGTCTTCTGAGCATGTGAGTTGCAAGCTAAGCCTGCATTTGGATGTTGGGAGGGGGAAAGTGGTTTTTGCTCAGAGCAATGTAGAAGTGGGATACAGGCGATGAGTTCTGTTCTCTCAGCAGCTTGTGCTTGTATTTGTACTGTTACGGTGTGAGATGTTAATACTCTGTCTTCAGGCCCAAATACATGAAATACTTGATTTTTGGCCTGGCTTATGCTTCAGTTGGACTTGGTTTACTTCAGCTGCAGGCAAAAAAATCTGGTTATCTGGAAATTGTTACAGATTATTCTGCCACTGCAATAATACTACCTTTTAAATGGTTGAGGCTTGGAGCATGGATAACAGTCTGCTTTAATCTGAGAATGCATATATGGTAAAGCTTTTCGTTTGACCTTTTACCAAAGAGCTGAGCAATAAAACAAACTGGTTCATGGTGAATTGTGTAGCTTTTGTTTTCTGTTGTTCTGTGTTTTTACTGAAGTATGGGGAGAAAGGATTAGGAAAAGGTTTCATAAAGTTAATTTTTATGCAGTGCTGAAAAAGACATAAAGTAAGACTAGCTTGCATATAAAGTCCAATAAGAACTATAGTGATGGTCTTTTCATTTGTTCTGCAATATATGGTAAATTGTGGGGAGGCTGATTTCCATTTTGTTTTTAAGTTGATCATAGCTCCAGTCTAATGTCAGTTTGTCTGTGTTGTACTGTGACTTAGGATGATGTAGCCTTGTTTATCAAAAGTGTATCTGAAAATTCTCCCTGTGCCCAATTTCTTATTCTCAGAATGCCAGGCATGTGTTGCAGGGGTATGGGGTTTTGAATGGAGGCAAAAAATGTCATTCAGTTATGAACAGGATACATCTGAGTACTATAGTATTTGTAGTTTTTGTTTGTAATGTCTTTTGATATAAACCCCTGAGGTTTTCTGTGTCTCGTTATTTTAATCTATTGAATGAAGAGTTTCATTCACTCCAGTGCTTACTAATCCCAGATGAGTTCATGGCGCACTTATTATGCACTCAGCAATGCTCTCGCTTTTACTTTCAGATGGATTTAATGCCATTTATCAATAAAGCCGGCTGTGAATGTCTTAATGAGAGTGATGAGCACGGATTTGACAATTGTTTACGTAAAGACTCTACCTACTTGGAATCAGACTGTGATGAGCAGGTACAGTAGATATTTAAGTGAGATATTTTTAATGATGGTCTGGTCTGCACACATATTTTTCAAAAACTTGTCTGCTATATATTGTTATGGTAGTGTAAGAAGGAGTGGGAGATGGTAGTAGGCCATAGGTAAAACTAGTGTTCGGAGGTCGTTGTAGCATTTCCAGTTTCACATCCCTTTATTTATGGAAAAGATTCCAAGCAGAGTAGCATTAGCTGATATTTTAAAGTGACAGACTAGTTAGTGCATGTGTGGAATATAGTGAAGGTAAGTACTTAATTTTATTTCAAAACTGAAACTTATTTCTAGTTAATTACTGTGCTGTGTTTGTTCTTAAGAATGAGGAAAACACTATTTAACAGCAACTTTTTTTTTCTCCACAGCTGCTTATTACTGTAGCTTTTAGTCAGCCTGTCAAACTTTATTCTATGAAACTTCAGGGGCCAGATAATGGTGAGTGAGGTGTCTGTTTAATCACATCTTTGAAACCAAAACCTTGTCTATGTTTAGGTGAATTTTCTAAAAATAACACTGTTGTTCCTGGAGCCTTTTACCTTCTGAAAATCCCACAGTAGCTTCAGAAAATTTACTGTAAATGAATGACAACAAATGATCTCATTGATTTTTCACTAACCTCATGCATGGGTATTTGGTATGACACAAATATGAGTACTTGCTATAGTTGGATACCTTGCAAAGAGAAACTTGTGTTTATTTCAGGAATTAATGTGAGAGCTACTGAAAGGCATAACTTTGTTGTTATGGTGACTTAGTTTACATTACAAAATTACGTAAAGTGTTCGGGTGCTATGACTCATTAAAACTATTACTTTTAGACTTTTTATTGGCTTTTTTCTGTGGAATTCCATCTCTGACATGGAGGCAGATGGATGCCCTTCAGTAACCAGGGTGGTGATGTAGGATTGACAGATAATATATTAGAACTGTAGAAGCTCACCTTTCCTTGTGTTGTCTAGAGACTGCAATAAGCGAGGGCTTCTCAAGCAGTTTGAGAGTATATTTAAACAGTGGAATACGACTCCTATATTTTAACACAGGGCAAGGTCCAAAGTACATAAAAATCTTTATCAACCTGCCTCGATCTATGGATTTTGAAGAAGCAGAAAGAAGTGAACCAACTCAAGCCCTGGAGCTGACACCAGATGATATTAAAGAAGATGGCATTGTCCAGCTTCGCTATGTAAAATTTCAGAATGTTAACAGTGTAACTGTAAGTAAATTTTCTGTTCTGAGGTCTGTGCAGGCTGAGAACTTCATAGGTTTTTAAAGCTGTGCATGTTTGTTGATTTCACTGCAACTGTTCTTAGCTTCTCTCTGCTGATTGCAAACTGTATGTTTATGCCAAAAGCATTTCAGTAATCGAAAGTGAGGCAAAGCCATGCGTGTGCCATGTCTCTTATGACCTAGTATGAGACGTAAGGTTTGCTTTTTACCTCTTCATGAGCTAGTGTGCCATTTAACACAGCTTGTGTTGTTACTAACGTATCTTCTTGATAGGTACCTTGTCTCCGTTTGAAGAGTTGAGGAGACAAGGAATCCAGTTTCTCAGTAATCTGATTGCAGAAATGAGAGATTTCTCTGAATATCAAGTGAAGTACTTGCCGTGTCTTTAAACTCCATGCCTGCTTTCTGTGAGGGTTCTTAAATGCTGTAATCAAAGCACCTTTGTCTTTTAAGGAGCTCTCTAATTCTCTTGCTCTTAAGAGACTTTCCACAGATTTCACGTAGGTTTTTTGGCTCTTAAATGCAGGTGCAGTTTCTCCTTTTTCAATTTAAAAATACAGGTTCTAGTGCAATATATGTGATGACTAAATTGGTGTGCAATTGCTTTATGCTTGGCTTCATCCTGGTACTGTGCTAGCCTTGTCTCCTGCAATATTGCGTTGAACTGTTTTTCAAATATGAACCCTGAATTCTTTTCCATGGAAATGCTTTTTGTGGCCCGAATTATGCGTTTGCAAATGTATGGACTTACAACTGATGAAATTAAGCTATATTTGAGTGGGCTGGCCACAGAAATCACCAGTTTGAGTTACAGGTAGCTCCAAAACATTGATCCACCCTCAGTCTTTTCATCACACTTTTTCTTCTGTGAAAACGTTTCTGGTAGATTTCTGAATTACTACAGTTGGACCACATAGTAGATCAGTCAGCTACTTTCATACTTAGCAATGTTTTACGAGCAATTATTTTAAATGTAATGGGAGGTGAACCTAAATAACTGCTCTTCATGTCTTTCTATGGAGTTACCTTTGTGACCAACTTCATCTTACCTTCTACAAAGCTGTGCTGACAGGTGCAGGTTGCATATTTTTTCTTTAATAAAGTCCTGTGTCAGCTTTAGACAGGATGATGTGCAAGCACCAGACAAATAATAAGGTGATTAAATAGAAGTTCTGCTTGTTTGCAGTCTTTGCATGTGGGCACTAGAGTAGCTCCCCCCTAATTTCCTAGCTGAAGCTGGACCTAAAAACGAGGTGGCCAGTCATCTTGTCCACCACCTGTGTTTTCAGTCCGGATGATGAAGTTCTGCTCGCTTATGTAGTCCTATGGATAAAAACCTTCCATTTGGTTCCTAATGAACTGGAGGAGGCACAGTTGTCATATACACAAATTGTCCTGCTTTTCTGCCATGTGTAGTCAGAAATACTTATTGACCATTTCCATGTTAACATTGGCAAGTTCATACTTCATTTATATACATCACTGCTAGGTTTGTTACTGAACTGAGCTGGATTTTTTTATTAGTAATTCTATACATTGCAGTTTCTAATCCATATAATTCATCATATCTAATGCTGTTTTTCTTCATCTGTTGTCTGCGTCTCTGCATTACTGCTACTTCAGTGGCATTCGTTTTTCTCTGCTCTTGTTGAACTTCTTGTACCCTTGCTGAGACAGAATTGCTGAACACATTGCTGGTCACCTGTTTGACAAAAGTCAGTCCTTGACATGCTGTTCTGTTTCTGTCTGAAGAGTATTTTCTTCAGCATTTCAACCCTCACCTTCCGAACATGTTGTTTGTGTAGGAAAATACATGGTCTTCCAACTACGGTGAAGCCACCTGGAGGGGTGAATGTCTGTATTGGTCTAGATCAGCAGTCCAGCTTGTTTATCACACACTTGCAAGTACTAGTGTTGTTACAAAAAAAATTCTAAGTATAGGGCTTCTACAGGTATGTCAGCCAGAAGAGGAAGGTCAAAGAAAGCGTACTGCCTCCCCGCAAAGGACCTGGACAAGCTCAAGAAGTGGGACTGTGTGACTCTAATGAGGTTCAGCAAGGCCAAGTGCAGGGTCCTGCATCTGGGTCAGGGCACCCATTGGTACCAGTACAAGCTGGGGATGAAGGGATGGAGAGCAGCCCTGCTGTGTCCAGCTCTGGAGCCCTCGGCACAGGACAGACCTGGAGCTGTTGGAGCAGGGCCAAAGGAGGCCCCAGCAATGATCCGAGGGCTGGAACCCCTCTGCTGTGAGAGCTGGGGCTGTTCAGCCTGGGGAAGAGAAGGCTGTGGGGAGACCTTAGAGCAGCTGCCAGTACTTAAAGGGGGCTTCTAAGAGATGGGGACAGGCTTTTTAGCAGGGCCTGTTGGGATAGGACAAGGGGTAATGGTTTTAAACTAAGAGGGGAGATGTAGACTGGATGTAAGGAAGAAGATTATTTTTTTTTTTTGACGAGGGTGGCAAAACCATGGCACAGGTTGCCCATAGCAGTGAGAGATGCCCCATCCCTGGAACTTCTCCAAGCCAGGTTGGATCGGGCTGTGAGCAGCCTCATCTGGTTGAAGATGTCCCTGCACATGGCAGGGAGGCTGGAGCAGATGCGCTTTAAATGAAGGTCCCTTCCCACCCACACCATCCCATGGCTGTATGTAGTGATGCGTGCCTGCCACCATTGAGTGGTCTGTGGCACAGGCAGTGGTTGAGGCAGAACGGGCATCGTCATCGATACTGGCAATGGCGTGTGGAAAGGGCGTGATGCGTGCTGTCCCTTGCCCACCTGTTGGCCTCCCTCTGCTCCCCATGCCACTTCTCGCTTTCTTTCTCGTTCCTGCTTTCTCCATGCTCACAATAAAGTGTGGAAAGATTCACAAACACCTCATTGCTCTTCTGACTCCAAGTTCCTTGCTAATACTATTTCACACAAAGAAATTGTTCTCTCATTTGTCTGCTCTACAAAGTGTAGTGGTTCCAGCAACAATTCCTTACTTTGTATTTCAAAAGAAGCTTGATATTTGTTTGAAACTCTAGAATAACTTGAATCTAGTGTTCGTGCTGTAAAAAACATAATTATGCGTGTAGTAGTAGTAATTTACATGTAAAAATCATTCTGTGATTAGGTGGTAAACAGTCCTTGGGACTTCAGCAAGCATGGTGGAATTGATACTGCAAGTCAGATTCGAGTGAATAGTGAATTGTGACTTCCTAGATCCTGTTTTTGCTTGCTGAATGTGGTCGCAGGTCGACAGTGGAAGCTGGGAAAATCCAAGCTGTGTGGCTTTTTAACAAACTACCAGGAAAAATAGTAGCATTCTGTATAATTGTTATTTAAAATAAGAGGACAGTAGCTTCTCTAAAGGTTTCAGAGGTCTATATAATTGGAAAAAGTGTTAATTTGGTTAGTTCGAAAATACTGGGCACCTAATATTTTATGTATTAATTCAGGGATGGACAGTTTACCTTAAGTCTTTGTGTTTGGGGTTTTTTCTTCAGTTGTTCGTCCAATCCAATCACGGAGATGAAGAGACAACAAGAATTACCTATTTCACGTTTATTGGAACTCCAGTCCAAGCAACAAATATGAATGACTTCAAGCGAGTGAGTCCGCTTTTTTAAAAGCACTTTTGAATGTTTTAAACCTACTTAAAAATGGGTTGACAGAACAAATGCACTTGGTTGTTACTACAGTTCCACAACTGAAGGTAGTTTTGGCGTCCAGAAGAACATGTGTAGCTTTGGTTTTGCTTACAAGTTTTTGTTCACCAGCTTTGTAAAAATAACTGATAAGAATGTATATATGAAAAGTTGAGGGACTGTCAAATTATATGTGCTATAGACAACGTTGGGGGTTTTGGTGCTTGTGAGATTTTTGTCTCGATTTTGAAACTTCTTTTCTGATGGTGCTCAGGAAGTAGAGAAGCAATTGCATGTACAAATTAATTAGACTCCGTGTGATTGATGTGACTTCTCCTTTGAAGAATTTGGTTCATTGCGCAGCGTTACGTAAGCTTGAGATTTGAAAAATATTTGGTCACAAGATGTCTACTATTAAACATCTCTTTTATAAAGAGGAAATGAAGAAGCAGACAACTTGTTACAGTATGAAAGGCACTGGAGTCATTTTTTTTTTTTTTGAGAAGGTGAAATGGGTTTGAAAGGATTGAAACTTTAAAGCTACTTACAACTGTTGTGAAATGTAATAAGACTTTTTAAAATAAACTGCTTTAAAACTTAGTAGGCTTTGTAAAAGGGCAAGTACTGCTGTAACACCTGCCTACAAACTGCTGTGTAGGTGACGGGTAACATTGAAAGCATCACAGAATTTATTCTACGAATTACCTATAACTTCAGAAGGTTAAAAAGACTAACACTCGCCAACGTGTCACGTCCTTGGAATTTTTATGTTAGAGCTTGATCTGAACTTCTACATGTAGAACTTAATATTTTTGCAGGTATAATTAGGTTTATAAACAGAAGTTGAACAGGTTTTGCTGCCTTTCAATGAAACTTGAAGCAATTGAAAAAGTTATTCTAATGTACTAAAACTAATTGGATATCAATTTGAGACCTTTCTAAGGTAGCACTTCTAATTCTTCCAGAGCTAGAAATATATTAATTGATTTACAATCTGTTTATGTTTTTGTACTATACAGCTTTTTTTGTCAGTAGTTATGGTATTAGGGGATCCCCTCCAATAAGCTGTGCAATTACTATTTTAACATCCTTAATTTTTCTGGTAGTGTAGTGTGGGGCATGGGACTTTGACTCAGTACTTGAGCTCTATCTCACTTTCAGTTCTCTGTAAACTCTGTTAATTAGTTTTGCTTTCAAAAGAACCAGAAGCTTTTTTTCAACAAGTGCACTCTTTAAAGCTGACCTTCTGATTGTTGAAGTAGTGATTTTTTTTTTTTAGTTGATAATCCTGATGGGGGTGCACTTGGTAAAGCGATTCAGGGTTTCTGTAGAGTGTTACATGGGTTTGAGACAGTGTTTTAAGTTGCGTGGACAAAATGTTAGTTTGGTGGGCGCAGTACTGAAGTGCTGACTGTAACAATCTGAGCTCCAGAGAGTGGGCTCTTTAATTCAGATGTGCCCTCACACAAGCCTATAAAGGCATTAAAAATAACATGGGTCTCCAGGTGTCTCAGCCCTCTGCTGCAGTTAGAAGGGATTTAGAGATCCCTCTCGGTTCTAGATGCAGCGTGGGTGCTTGGAAGCTGCTCTATGGCCTGGTAAATACTATGTCAGTTTTGGTTTCCTCAGAGTTTTCAGGTGAATGTCTTGGCACCACCAAGGAGTGCCTTTGTGTCTTGTGACATCCATTTAAATGGATGGGGAGGGGCGCAAACCCACAAGACGATGTATGCACCGAAGAGTCCCGTGGTGTTAGCATCGCACTGCTCATGTCAGGATGTTAACGAACTGGTCAGAATGGCCTGAAATGGAGCAGCAGGCGATACTGGGTTATGAAGTGGCTAATCCGCTCTCGGATACTCATCGATACTGAATGTAATATCCCTGTTTTGCTTCCTGAACATGTAGTTTTAATATTAGGCTGTGAAAACATTTCATCATAACAAATGGGATGTGTAGTCTGGCAGAGTTGCAGTGCTCTTGGGAATTTTAACTTTTGTTTCCTCTCTTCCAGTGATCCTGTCAGTCATGAAACCTTAATATAGCGTTGGGCATTAATTATATTTAGGTCTGTAGATTAACTGGGAAACCTTATTTTTCTTTTCATCTCCTAGAGTAGTTACCCACACCACTCCTCACTGCTCTCATCTGTCTTGCTCCCTCATCTCATTCTGTCTCTACTGTTCATATTTCTCTTCTAATTACAATAGCAATAGTATTGCAATATGATTAACAAGATGGGGGAATGCTTTTTTCCCTGAGTTTGAGAAGCGTTTGTAAGAATCTGTTAGGTGTCTTATTTGAAGGGCTTTAAAAAGTGGATGTGAATGTGATTCCTGTCATGTTTTTATGATTGATCACATCACTGCTCAGTTGACTGTATGCATGTTCAGTTGCAAAGTGAAAAATAAAACCAACGCATTGGTTGGAATGACTGCTGCTAAGGGACTGGCTAATGTATTTTGCTTCCTAACTGGGGTGGGATCAGAATGCCTGCTTTTAGTTATAGCAGCTTACTGCTTAGCGGTTGCTTATTAAGGTGCATAACTGCAGCTGCCAGGTCCTTCAGACAGTTGATGAAGACTCATGTTTGTGTGTGTGGTGCTCTGCTAACACCAAGAGGGCTGTAAGGAGAGTCACTTCTTGATCAGGGAGTCGGTTGGTGTGTTTAATATAAACGAGGCATTGTTTCCAGTACTTGCACTATCAAACAGAAAGCTGAAATTCATCTACTCTGAAAAATAACAGAAGTGCTAAGTAGGTGTAATTAAGTCAGTGCTTCCTCAGTGATTTTGGCTTCAAGTTAGTTTGGGCATACATAGAATCACAGAACAGCCCAGGTTGGAAGGGACCTGAAAAGATCACCCGATCCAGCTTTGCCTGGGGAGGGGAGCCTGGATGAGGTTGTCTAGCCCCCTGCCCAGTTGCATCTTGCAAACCTCCAGCAATGGGGTCTCTGCCGTGTCCCTGTGGAGGTTGTTGCAGTAATTGATTGGCCTCACTGTTAAAAAAGAAATCTTTCATTTTCTTGCATGTAGTTGGTATTGCTGGATTGAGTGAGTAAGGTTACAAAAGCTGCTTTCTAACTTGCTTTAGCAGGTTGTGTGTATTCTTCTCCTTGTACAACTTGATTTTTATCCTCTGGGAAGGAGGGACGTCTTTGGAGTGATGGAAAAGGAACACTGAGGAAAAAATGTCTGCTTAGAACTGACTGCAGTGTAGTGAGCTAAGCACAGAGAGTAGTGGGAATGACCTGTTCTTTGCCCTGTTTAAATGAGGAGGCCCTCAACAGCAGGCAACTAGGATGAATGTTCCCTTCCTAGATATTTTTATTATATTCTGAAATGCTTTTGGGAAAGCTTTGATTTAAAGGCATGCTTGTTTGAAGAAAAAAAAAAAAAAATCCTTAACACTAGAAGTGTTCATACTGCTGTTTCTTGGCCACGCAGGGTCTGACTTCAGGCATAACTGATCATGCCAGCTGCTGTAGGAGACTTTGGGTTGTAGTAGATTTGCTTGTGATGCTCAGTTGGACTGCTTTGGGCAGATAGCTAAACTGTAGAGTAAAGGTGCGGGTTCTATGGGTTTTTTACTATTGAGTGATAGTTTACTATTGGGTAGGCTCCTGTGCAGCTTGTGGTGAACTTAGAAACGTGCTTTTGTTTGTTGAAGAGCATGCAACTGTTGCTGTCCATTGTAGTTCTTGGTTGTTTCTGGTACTAATGAATAAAACTTAGTTCTTGGTTGTTTCTGGTACTAATGAATAAAACTTAGTGCCACTCAGTTTTGAGGTTGGGGCATAGGTGAATATCAACAGGTGGTGTGGATTTTTTTTGTCCCTTTTTGAATGAAGGCTTTCTTTCTACTCAGAACTGCTTAATTGCACTACATCCTGCTGCTCGCTCTTGTAACATTTTGTTTGTTTGTTTTTCAGCTTAACTTCCCATTTCTAAAGAACTAAAAAGGCAGAAGAAATTAAAAAGTAATAATAAGATTGAAGCGGTCTTACACTACTCCCTTGCTCCCTCTGCTCATCTAGCATCTCTTTCGCCCTTTCCACAATCTCAGCACTGATGCAAGAGCTGCCTTCTCTGCACCTTCTGCCATCAGGAAAAGCCTTCTCTACCTTCTGACTCCTCAACTCATCTTTCCCCTCCACTGCCCGCTCCAAATCTTACCTTAAACACCTTTACCTTTCGGTCTTACCACATTTCTTTCCCACTGTTAGCCTGAACTTGACATTTTAAAGGCATACCATACAGTACATTTACAAATGATTTCCTGTAACTCCTTTTTCAGCCTGTATTGAGATTTGTAAAGCTGTTTGAGATGCAGCTTGTGAAATGCTCTACCAAGACTCGACTTTTTTTTAATATCTTAGCGGAGCTCCGCCGTGTTCTTTGTTGTAACGCTTCAGTAAGGAGTAGGCAAGCCAGTAAGGGCTGTGAAGTACTGCTCTCTGTTGTCCCTTAGTGGCACTGGGTAACTGCTCAGGGAAGACGCAGTGAGGAGCTGGTGAGTGTTTGTACATGTGTGGCCTCATTAGAGTTCTCTGACAGCATCCTACTAATTTTACTTGCTCGACCTCTTTATATGTGTTTGAAACAAACAAACAAGACCAACTCTGTTCCAGAAGGTTCAGTAATAAAGTGTTTCCCATCCTACTCTTGGTAATGAACCATGGAGTTGGTTGTGGTTTTTCTCACTGTCAGGCTCTGGCCTGATGCTTGGGGAAAAAGCCAAATGGTTGAAGAAAAGGCTGCTCCAAAACCATCATCTCTTGTGTGGGAATTACAGGCTGTAACCACTACCTTAGAATGCAGTAGATGGCAGTTTTTTCTGTAAAAGGAAGGAAAATGGTTCTGCTTCTAAGAAAAGAATAATCATGATTGTTTGGTTTAAGTTTAAATAGCGCAGCTGGTTTTGGGGAAGTGGAGTGGGGTGGTCAGAAAATGGGTTGGGTTGACCTGCAGTGACAAAATATCCATATCAGTGTGGTTGATTTTCACAGATAATACACATGGGCGAGTTGTCCATTTCTGCCTCAGACTGGTACAGCAATATTTTTCATTGATGTTCCACACTTGCTAACACCTAATCTTTAATCTTTTAATCGTGTTTTTTTTTCTCTCTCTTTTGCTTAATCTGTGTGTGAACACAGTTTGGTGCTTTGGAAATACACAAAGAATAAATACTGCTTCTTGACAAGTTTAACTTTTTTAACTTGATTAATTGGATCTTAATGCAAGTGATTTGGCTTCTAATTTTTTTTTTACTTTTTTCCTCATGTTGTCAGATTGGAAATTTCCTGACCTCTTAAGCATTAGGTTGAATTTAAAGCTTGGTAAATGCTCCTGGTCAAGGGTTCCTTGGAAGTGCGAATGGTCTTTAAAAGTACTTTCCATCAGTAGATCTCAGTTACTTTGTAATGGTGGTAACTTGGCTAACCAAAAGCATCTGGACAGTGGAAAAATTCTCCCTCTTGAAGTTCAACAAGAAATGAAAAAAGGGAAGGGTCAGGAAGAATACTTCCAGGGGGTCCGTGAGACTTCCCTATTTCAGGGCTGTGGGTGTTTTGGGGTTTCATTTTTTGTTTGTTTTGTTTTTTCCCCCTAGTTCTATGTTGCAGTATTGACTGTGTGAATCTTGTGTGGTATTTTGTCACGTAACTGTGGAGGTGATTAATACTGAGCACATTTGCTATAGGAGTCAATGGCTTAGAACACAAGAGAGGCTTTACTCCTCCGTTTTCAGCTTTATTGTATATTATTTGCTCCATTAGTGTGATCTTCAAATCTCTGGTCATGTGAATTCTGACTGTACCTTGTCTGAGCTGTAAGTGCTGCTTTCCAGTGAGATGGAAACGAACTGGGAATCGGTGCCTTGCCCAAGGTCCCTCCTGCAGTTTGAAGTCCTAAATGTTAAGACTTACTTCTCTTTTACTTTGGTTTAGCTTATAAATGGATATTTTTTCAAGGGTCTTCAAGAGCTCTGGATTTATGTCTGAATCTTTTCAGAAAAGTGACTGAAATGGCATCGTTTTCTGCTCTCAGGAGTTTGTGTTCAGTTAACGAAGGGAACTGGATACCCTTCTGCAGTGAACTCAGCTAACTTTAAACCTGCAGAGCAGTACATAGAGTGCTGGAGCTGCACTCGCTGTTGGCTGGCAGATCAACTCACCAAAGTCTGGTGGCAGTGGTGATCCTTTCAGAAAAGGGAAGCACTAAGCTGGCTCTGATTCCAGGTGGAGTTTGCAGAATTGGAGATTGCAAGGAGACTTGGTAAGGAATAATGTTTTGACAAGGAATAACTGAAAATCAGGTGATTGCAAGGTTTCTTTATAGGTTTGAGCTGATTTGCAAGGTAAACATTCTCAGTGAGGTACATGGCAAGGATGCCAAGGCAAATGAGCACCCAGTGGTGTTCCTCCCACTATAATATTTTGTATAGTTTATTAAGGTTGAATGTTTGGTATATAACACATTTTGAAGTGTGGTCTGTTCTGTTGCAGTTACTATCTTATAACTGTTCTTAAAGTGAGACTGATGCTTTGCTGTCTGTATGAGTACTAAAGATAAGGTTTCTTGTGTCTTGCATCTCTCATAACCCTGTAGAGGGATTCACAGCTTCTGTAAGTGCTACAATAATGCATGCTTAAATGCATTAACTTGGTTGAAAATTGAGTTGCACTTGTTTATTTTGAGACTTAATTTAAAAAATCCATGGTGGGACTTTTTTGGTTAAACGTTATCTCTTTTTCTTTTTTCTCTTACCAGGTAGTTGGCAAAAAAGGAGAGAGCCACTAGGATGCAAAAGACACTGGAAGGCCTTATCGCAATCAGAGATCTTCACTTTTACCTACAACTCCTGGATAATTGCTTGACCATAACTAGAGACTGTCAATCTGTTTCATTTAATGCCATTACCAATAAATCATTGCTTTTGTTGAGATGGAGTTTCCCTAGTGTGTTTCTGTTGTAATCCTCGTACATGTATTTGTAAATAAAATCCACTACTTTTGCCAAGATTAATTTTGTTTTTCTAGTAACTGTGGCTCTTCCTTTGTTCCAGTTAAAATCCAAAACTCGACTGGCTTATCTTTAGAAACAGAAGACATAATGTGGCTTGCATTTGTTCAGAGACTTTAAAATGTCAAATGTAAGTACAACATAGATGGCCTTCGGAGGCCATCTAAAAATAAAATCCGAGCTACTTTATTGTAAGACTGAGTGAACTTAGGATCATTGTTCCCACAAAATACAGATATGTCTCAAATAGGAATAGCTTCACCTGTTTTGGAAACTTCTGTTCCCCTTTCAAAAAGCATAGGAGGAGGAAGTGTATTTTAAGTTACTGTTCCATTGACTTGCAGATTTGTCACAAATGGCACGCTGGTGCAAGCTGTTCGGCACTGAGAATTCTTGGGTCTGTGAAGTGTTTGGGTTTTTTAATATTAGAAAATATTGACCTCGTTTCCCAGGCAGACTCTAGCAAGCTGTGCAGTTAGGAGGATTTAGATGTTTGTGCACCCCACCTGAACAGAAATTCCTTATTTCTGTCATTGGGTGTTTTTCCTCTCTCTGGATCTTGATAAGGAAATGTTTATTGCAAATACTAATTTTACATCTTAATTGGAATTCCAGTACTACTTTGGTAAATTTTCTTGGAAGTGTGCCCTAAGTAATTTTAATAAATTGGGCATTGATCAGCACCGTATACATATAATACTGTATAAATTCCCAGTAAAACTTGCTAAGTGTTCTAATTGGCATAATTAATTTCTTTGTAAAGTTAAATTTGTTACATTTCTAATTACCATAAATCCCACTAAGGCTTAAATCCTGTCCTAATTGGCATTCCTTTCTTGAACACAGTAGGGTGGTTCTCTTCTGGCTTGGCAGATTTGTATGTTAATACCAAGTCAGCTTGCTGTTAGCATAGATATTTTCTCCGAATGGAAAACTGGGGATTGTCTAGAAAAACATTTTTAGAGGCACTTTTTTTTTCCCCCACTGTATCACTGCGTACTCTAGGATAGTCATCTACCTGTATGATAGTCGGTGGCATGCGATGATTTGGTTTCTTTCCTACTTCCTTAATGTTTTGCTTCAGTGGGGGGTGTAAGGCATGTAACAGACTGTATATAGAACATAAATCATTTTTAAATATAATTGGGACAATATGAATAACTGTTCCTGTTTATAGTTTTGTACAGTAACTACCTTTTGGGTTATTGTTGAAGTGCCTCATCCTAAGTATTGCTTACCTCATAATATTTATACCTGAGAGATTTGATAACCTAGTGATTCTCATCTTTGTAAAGGATCAGTCAAATTTATATTGTTTATGAGACTCTTCTGTGATTTCCTTGGTTGCATGATGCATACCTTCCATAATGATTCTATGTACATAGATCTAAATAAATGTTTAGAGGTAACTGTCACATGTTTCACTGAATGCAAAATGGCTAGAACTGTGCACAAGGAGCTGAAAAGCACAGAACTGAAATTGTGATGCAATACTGTTTGGAGTGATGTTCCTCTTGGATGGTGTTCCCAGGTGTGTGTGGACCCTGCAGGATGAGTGCTCATGATGCAGCTGCTTGGCCTCTGGCTTTTGAGTGTTGTTCTTGATGGGTAAAGTCGCTCTGAGAAGGTGATTGGCTTCCTAACAGGAGCCCTAGGAGGGGGCCGTAATGTGCTCATGTTCTGGTAATGCAGAGGCTGTGATAGTTGAGGTTTGGTGCTGGTCGGTGCTACAGATGACTGAAGTTCTCTGTCGTTAGGTTAAATCTGTTCCCTGCTCAGTTCCGTACGTTTTATACATCCGAAGGCTGTTGCTTGTTTGGGGCAGGAGGGTGAAATAAGCTGTTGTGTTGTTCGGAAGCCCTACTGAGGCCAGGGGTGTGTGTGTGCAGAGTGCTGTGCTTTGGTGCAGAGGCAAGGTCTGACCCAGCTTTGCCAGCAGTCCCGTCACCTTGTCCCCCTTCAGCTGTGCCCCCCCTTGCCGCTTTGTTTCTAGCGAAGGTTGAGCTGTTGAACTTGCGGTGAAATACTGGAAGGTGGCTGAAAATCTGCAAGTATTGTACAGCACGTGTCCCAGCGCAGCTGGTAGCGGAAAGAGCAGTTTTACCTGGAGTCTTCTCTCGCTTCCTTTGGGGCTAGCGAGCCGGTCGTGAGGTTTGCTTAGCGGCTTTAAACCTGAAATAGCTCTGTAGTCATCGGGTTCCCGAGGGCTGAGTGTCTCGGCCAGGGTATCACGTCCGGGATTGTGTAACAGGATTAATCCGCAGTGTGAGGCCGTAATTAGAGTATTGCCGTGTAAAATGTTCCTGCGTGGATGCGTTGAAAAGGCGGAGGAGGGGGGCTTGGGTTGCTAGCAGAGATTGTACACCGGGAGCCTTTGATGTAGGCTTGTCTCGTCTTCATCCTGCGCGTTACTTGGGTATGGAGATTAATAAGCATATGTCACCGGAGAGCTGCTGGACTTGATCTGAAGGCTGCTTGAGAGAGCAAATACAGCTTTCTCTCAAACAGGGAGGTTGTTTATTTTCATGTTTATAGTCCTCAATGTTTTTATTTCTGATAAGGGTTTGAGGCGTTAGAAGACTAACCTCTAAATATCATTTGGCTTCTAAATTACTGGAGAAAGTGTAAGAAGTAACAAGGGTTAGAAGCTGAAGCCTGAGAAGGTGCTTGTGGTCAAGGAGGCACATCTCTAATCTGCCCGATTCCTTCAAAACACCACAGTTCGGACTGCTCGGTTCGCTGGAGATGCTCGTGATGTTCTGTAGGCACTGGGAGACCAGATGTGACCCATCCTTTTAAAATGGAGTGAGGAGGAAACGGGGAGTACCATCAGAGGTGACAAAGAAGCAGAAATCTTAGACTTTTCTCCTCCTTTCGCTTGGGTCGGCGTTGCAGTGCTGGGAGCAGTGGAGTGGCTCCGTAGCGGAATTTGTAGGTGAAGAACCCATGGGTGCTTTCTCGTGATGCTCCCGTACCAACGTCTGACACAGGCTTGACTCTGGGGCAAGTGTCCGGTCCGAAAAGTCCTGGGCAGGGGAGGTACCCTGAGGGGACTTGCGCGGGTGCTTCTGTGGACACGGGGCTTTTTTAGGTACATCGTTCAAATGCTTTGTGTCTACAGGGAATCTCAGAAGTAATGAAAGGAGAGGGGCCTTCCAATGCCCACAGGGTGAGCAATTTAACCTCCAGCAAACTCCACTTTTGAAAAAGTTAGGTCTTTTTTTCTTCAACAGCCCGTTTGTAACTGGGTTTCAGAGTACCTTTGAGATGTGCCAATAAAATAGCTGGGTACTGACTCGGATATCAGCGCTCTGCGTAGTGTAAAATCCGCTTGTGTTGGGGAACAGGAGTATTTATCACTGAATTGAATTCCTGGCCTGGTTTGGGGTGAAATCAGTGCATTCTGTGACTATTAACTATTCACTTTTAGGTTTCTTAACCATTTGACTCTGTATCTTTTCCTGTGGCTGAAACGGAAGGGTCTTTTCCGCTTGGGTGTTTCTTAACAAAGCATCTTCCTTCACGCCGTGCACTTTCGCACGCGCTGAAAATAGCGAGTTGTTCTTCTACGCGTCACGCTCAAAACGAGCGCTTCTCTCGCAGTTCGGGGAAGCATCCCCTGCTGGATGCCGCCGCGCTGCAGAGGTGGTTTAGGGCATACAAGCAGGTGTCGTTTCTTTTCACCTGTAGCCTTCAGCACCGGAAGGGTTGTCTTGACGTTGAATCTCCACTGAAGTCCCCCTGAAGAACTGCGCAACATGAAAACGCGGAGCGATGGAGTCGGGCTTGCGGTGAACGGGAGATGAGATTGATGTGGTGTGAGCGGGTGCACCGCTGCTCCCCTGCCCTTCCTCGCTGCCACCGTCGAGGCTCCGCGCGCTTTCTGCCCGAAACAGAACAAAATGGGCAAGGTCGTCGTTCAGAAATAAGAATGCAGGTAGGGAGCCGTGCCGGGGGAAGGCTGGGTCGGAGCTGGCTGTCCGGAGAGGCGTTCTGCTGCGATGGCCGGCTGCTGA